TAATACACACTTTAAATGAGCTTGAGTCACTGATGTATTTTTTATTCTGTTTTCAATTTGTGGACAATTTTTGGACATTTTAAAATTATGTATTTTTTTTTAATTCTGGAACAGTCTTTCTCTTTAGCTGGTAGAATTGATTAACAGGGCTGGAGATGCACAGTACCTGCCCTGTGACAGTCACCTTTAGCAGCCTTATCCTGCTCAATCAATTTTTCTTTTAGGATCTAGTGTGGAGATTCATGTTGCAACACTGCAAAGTTGAGAGGTCAGTAAAAATTTCTCAGTCAGGAATTCTGTATTGAGGCCATGTTTTTCTCTGCCTTTCTTTGTGTCCTGAAGCTGAATTAAATGAAAGTGTAATTCTTGGAAAAATAGAGGAAGGAAAGCTTTTTTTTTTCTTGTAACACATGGAAGGTAACGGGAAACTAGGCATGTTTACCTTTGGAACCAAAAGAAGGGAGTGTGGCTGATTTTGTCACTTTTTCAGAGTTAACAAGACAAGAGAAGGGTCTTGAAGCATTAGTGACAGGATGTGACTTGTGTCAGCTGGACTAGCTCTTTCCTTCTTAACCTGTATCTGCCTTCACCTTCTTGTTTGTCTGCCTGATGAGATTCAGTCTTGCTATTTAGCTGTGACTGTAAGGTAGAAATTTCTGTCGGTTGGAAACAAAACTGGTTGAGTAACTGCACCTAAAAAGCACTGACTGCATGGTTTGCTACCAGATGTCTGCTCTGCCCTTTGCCCATTCTTTCACAGAAGGCCTGAGATGATAAAGAACATGCTGAGAAAGTTACCAGGCCATGGGAAGTAGGAAACAGCTGAAGGTGGGGAGGAGAATGAGATTACTGTTTTGAATAGTCTTGGAAAATGGGAAATGTCATCTGGAGCAAAGCAGGGGACAGTGAGTATGAAAGCTCACTGGCTGTCTGTAGGCTGGACAGAATGGATGTGTGGTGGGGGGAAGATGAAGTTATGTGGAAAAAGAACATGAATTTTTTGGATAATGAACAAATAAGGATATATTATCAAGTTGTTAGAGGGTAAGCACACAGGCAAGGAGCTTGAAAGTAATTTGAACTAATTTCTCTGTTCTTGTCAGAGTTGGTTGGTTCTACAGTACCCCACTGTTTTAACTTCTGACGTCTTATATGAGAATGAGACCAGTTGCAGGGTGTTTAGAGGATAGTAGTGGTTTAGAAAGATTGAAAAATTAGAATTGTGTCTTGTGATTCTAGGCAGAGAATCTGTGAGCTATGTTTTTGGGCTTCTATCTGTTTTGCTTTTTTTTTTTTTTTTGGACTGCTGCAAAGTATAAATCCTGTTTTTTGATGAAGCCCACTGCTTCTTATTTGCGTTTATTTTTAATAACATCCCAGCTACAGGAACTGCTAAAAAAAATGTGGTCTTCCTACAGGTGCAGGAATGGGAAAGTGAGAGGGCACTGTCTGAGGATGTTACTGCATAACCAAGTAAAATCCAAAAGCTCAGTACTTGCTACTGTCAGATAAGAAGGGGCTGTTGACATAAATGTAGAGTAATAGTTCCTGTTCTGCTTTTACAGTTTAGAGACATCTTAAGATGGAACTCTTGCTGTTTTACAGATCTGATTTTTTAAATGAATTTTTATAATAATTTTGTATTTCTTTGTTTCATGGTCTCACAAATATCTTTAGGAACTGAATTATCTTAATTTAATTATTTACTGGGCAAAGAAGGACATAAGAGCAACTTCTAAAAAATTTCATTTGATGTTCTCAAGTTCTGGAAAATACTTGACTCATTTGACACAGCATAACGCTTTGTGCTATGATAATTTTTTCTTTCGGTGTACTTTGGTCTTACACCTGTCATTCTTACCTTTTTTGTGAGCTAAAAATTATCTTTTTTCTGTGTGTAAGCTGCTCCATGCTATGATCAGTATTTTCTATATTTTTTTTTGTGCTTTATGTTTTTCTTTAGCTAGAAGAACTTGAACATACAAGAATACCACTAATGTATCAGTAGCATAAGGACATGTTATATTTTCCTTTCCCTTCATTAAAAAATAGTTTAATATTCTGGATGGTTTCTAACCTGACTACTTGAAAGCACTGAACAAATGCTTTTGAAGATGTCTGCTCAGAGACTACTACAGGTTTTTCTGGTACTGTTATTAAATAACTCCTACCAGTGTATTATGTTGCATTTATTGACATGTGACTTCATCTGCTGTTTTCTGTGCTTGCTCAGTGTTCTGAGGTTTTGCAAGTTTTGTAATGATATGTTTGGTTTTGTTGAATCATAATAATTTTGTATAAAGCACAGATGCTTCTGTAATGATGTATAGGCAGGTAACCATTCTGAAGAGCAGCCCAAGTCCTGGCACAGATTATGGAGAGGCTTCTGAGCTCTCTCCCCTGTCAATCTTTGTCTCTTAATTCTTACCCTGCAAGGTCTTCTGTTCTCTGGTAGCTTCCTATCAAAGACATCAGCAGAAACTTTCTACTTCCAACACATTTTCCCACAGGATCCTTGATGCCTTCATAAAACTCTTAAAGTTGTGAAACGTGATTTTGCTCTGTAAAAGCTGCATTGTTCTTTTTTTCTTTTGAATTATTCTAGTCTACAGGTTCTTAGGCATGGTTTTAACCACCTTGTGCAGTATCAGAGTCAGACTGTGTTGTGCTTCTGATTACCTTGTCCCATCTGAAGAAAATTTGATTTTTTTTCTGCTCTTGATTCTTCTTTGCTTGGCTCACCTTAAGCCTAAGTTTTTGCAGAATTCATATTGTGGAAATTTGATATCTGATGCTTCAGTGGTTTGGCTCAGTAGCATCTGACTCTGGTGAATTCATACTATTAATATGATATTTTTAATTGCCTCTCAGATGCTTCATTTTTAGAAAATGCCTTACATATCCTAAATCTGAAGAGGATCTGATTTGGGGATTTGCCTTAATTGTCTTGTTAGTAATTTCAGAAAACAACAGGTCATCTAAGTTTTCTGTTCTGTCTTTATCTTCTGAATTTGTCTTTTATACCTTCATTAGCTAGTGAATTATTGCATTGAGGTAGCAAGATGTTTGTTAAGTATCAGATTCTGCTTCATTTGAGCTCAGAAATAACAGTGGAAATTTTTTGAGATTTTATTGCTCTCTGACAGATGGCTGTGCAATTCGCTGGAAAGCTTTTTTTTATGCTTCCATGTACTAGTTAGTCTATGCCTATCAAGTAGACCTGTATTGGACTTGCATTACCAGCTTTAAGTTCTACTAATGACCTGTGTGCAGATGAAAAAATGCACATAGGTAAAAAAGTTAATAGTAACTGGAATTCTAAAGAAAACTTGGGTTTGCATTTAGTTTTCTTATTGACAAACACAATCTGCACTCTAAAATATGTGATAGTGTAGCTGTTTAAAAAGAGAAAAAAAGGTGTGTTGTTGTTCGTGTTCAGGGAGCAGAAGATAGAACTTTTTTGTGTTGAAGTGGCTCCAGTCTGTTGTTTCATTTGATAAATGGAATTTTTTGTGGGCTTCATTTTTCCACATGCAGTTCTTAACATCTGCATGAAACTTAAATGTGCCCCGGTGCTGGTGGTGATGTTTGTTCCACTTTCACGAGTCCCATTTGAATGGGGATTAGGATTTACGTTCCTGTCCAGTGGCAGTCTGGTGCTTCCACCCAGTTTGCATTTGTGTTAGTAAGATGAGCCGAATTTACTCTAATGTTTTGCTCTTGCTTGTACTTTTTTGCTAGTGGAGACTTACCCTTGGGCTTTGCAACTTTGAAACAGATGATTTTATATCTGTTTCTTAGAAATGTGATTAATTTTATAATGCTTGTAACCTCCTGTGTTTTTTTTTTCCTTTTGTATCTGCTTGCATAGCTGCTGTTCCTTTTTAGTGCCTGAATCTTAGCATCAATTAGTCTTTTCTATTTTTGGTCATGGAGAATAGAAGTTTTGTATTTATATTAGACAGTTCTTTGTTTCTCAAATGTCACTAAGTAACCAGAAAGGAATACTAAATAGTGCCTGCTTGAATGTGAACTAAGACTGTTTCTTCGGAAGATTTTGTGAATGTGTCTGTGATCAATGCTTTGTTTTAAATAATGGAAATTTTGAAAATAGTTTTGCTTTCTTCACCCCTACACACTGTGTCTTTCTTTCAGTTTTGCTTTATGTGTTTTTTTCCTATGAGGGCATTGCTAAACTGTTATGGAATGTCTCATTTGAAGTTGGACATTGTGGTGTGAGATTGTGAGTGAATGCTTATCATGGCTCCACGTGTAGAGATTATACAGTATACCTTGCACTTGTAAGCTGTGTGCAAAGCTTGTTCCTTACCATTTTTTAAATCAAATATATTTTTTTCTTAATATAAACGCTCAAAACCCTTTTTTGTCAGTTTGCTTTACCTAAATTGTGGTCCAGAGTTACAAATTGAAGTTTTGGTCCTGCTAGTCATCCTAACTTCCTGACCTCCTACTTTTCTAGATATTAGATTAGTTAGAGCCAGATAGAAATTTAAGTGTCTTGAGTGTTCCTTTCTCTTTTTGCCAGTTGTTTTCTTCCACTTTTATGAAAATACCGCTACTAACTTAGTCTTTCATATAACAAACTTGGGTCTTCCATGCTGTCATTTTCCTTAATAGGTTTCTGCTTTCATTTTACCAAGGGCAAGGTTCATAAATAAATAAAATTGTCTAATTTTTCAGCTACAGTACACTTGCCGTAAGAAATTCCAAGAACTTAAAGAAAAATCTTCTCTTACATGTGTAGAGGCAAAATTATTTCTTCACTCAAAATTATGTGTATGAAGTGATCGCATACTACTGCTAGCAGTCATTTGAGAAATCTGCTCTTTTCTTTTAGTTGAACTGTCTATTTTTTTTTAAAAAAAAAGCTGGCTTCTGTAATCTGAAAATGCAGAGCAACTTACCTAAGTTTGAGTTTTGCAATGTATTTGAAAATGGTGAGATAGTTAAAAGAAGTTTGATATGTTTTTCTTTCACAGAGTCCGCAGAAAAGAAAAAAAAGTATATTTCAGTAGGTGAAAATCAAAGGAAGTAGCTGCTGACATAGGAAACTGTACTAAAGGACATTTCTGAAAGAAAACTTTTAAGGTATGTGGGCAAGTTATGCTTTGCAGAAAAGACTTCCTGAAAATTAGCTGCCTGCTTTGCTTTGTGTGGACCAGTATTTCAAATCAGCTTTGAAATAATTAGACAAACTTTTATTACCCCTTGAGATGTTTATTGTTGACAAAAGCTCTGCAGAAGGATTAGTTTTACTAGTTTATGTTGTATACATCGTATCGATGCATACAAAGATGATCTTATGAATATGAGATTAGTGTAAACAAATGGTAGATAGTGCATGTGTTTTGTATTTCATGGTCTTGTGCATTCCGGGAATAGATCCTACACTAACAGAAATGTCAATTGTTTGATGTCTAATTTTTGTTTAGCGTGTGGATGGAGTGCTAAGAATAATTTATTTCATTATTTTAATGGAATATAACTACTGTAAGCCTCACATTGAGAGATTGAGAAGGACTGCTAACAAATTGATAATCTATTTTAAAAATGCTTTTAGTTCAGTGTAGAAGCCGTGATTTTAAGGATTTGTCTCCTGAATACAAATCGTCTTTCTTTTCTGGTTTTGAGATATTTTTAATGTTTGTAGAAAGTGTTTGCAGAATAAAAGACGTTTTGTATTCTCTATGATTTGGAGCCCATGCAGATTTAGGAACAATCTAAATTCATGGTCAGCATATGAAGAGTGGGAGAATCCAGATCTGTGATGTGCTTCTCTATTCTGAATTTAACTGGGGGCCAGGTGTGCTTTCTGGGTTTGTGGTTTATTAGTTGCCTCCCTTGTCACTGGTACTGTGAAACCACAAGTTCCAACTGATGTGTGTAGATCCATCATTATTTTAAGTTTATAAACTCATAACCTTGGATATAATTGATGGCAATATGTAGCAGAAGACACCAGTTGTTACAAGTGTAGCAGAGCACCTTGTGAAAGTGTTGCATTGTACATGCTCTGTTCTTCCTTGCTCATTTGATTTCTGGCACTGTCAGACACAGGATCGTTGGTCTGACACAGCATGGCCACATTCATGTGTCACAGACAGATGGCAATCTTTAAATGTACATTGGTTATGGAAACTACTTTCTTCAGAGTTGCTGCTGGAATCCAGCAGCATGACTAACTGGAATACTGGCTTTATTTCCTGAGGGGAGTGTTACAGTATGGAAGGATTATGTGACTAGCAACTTCCTTGAAGTTTCTCACTTTTAGGCTGAAAAAAATTAACATTGATTTGTTTGGATTCTGACGGCACCACTGTGTTGGTGGTTGAGAGAAATTTTAAATTGTCTTTGGTAACTCTGCTTAAATTTAGAACAGTTTGACATGTGATTGCTCATTCACACTATATTATTAAATGTACATTCAATGTGCACTTCCTGTGAATGATTAGTTTGCTGTTTTGAGCATAACACTATGAAGAAAGTAAGTCCTACTTTCTTAGAATTGACTGTGAGACGTGTTTTACTCCTAAGTTTAACAAATATTTTTTGGCTAATTTACATGTACTGCATATACAGTAATTTTTTTAGCCATCTGTATCTATGTCCATAATAGATAATATAGGATATTCTATTACATATCTTGTAAGATATTATATATGTATCTTCTATTTCAAAATATAAAAAAATAGCTAAAGCTCATTTGTCTTATTTGGTGGTACTGGTATTTTATTGCTTTTACAAGACATGGTACAATTCTGTTTGAAACGTCACTGGCATGTCAAATTATGCAAGCTTTGTTCACATGTGGAAAAAGAGATAAACCTCATGGGCATCTACCAGAAGCAGAAGAAATCTCTTCACATTAAGAGTAAAGCAATTCCTGAAGGTTTTTTTTTCTGTATGATTTAGCATATCTTGTTTGTTGTTATCACTTCTTTGTCTAGCTTGTTTTAAAACATTCTGCCATCTCTGGTTTTTCCGTTAAGATAAAATACTCTCCCATGGATTTTTGAGAATTTTTTTGTCCCCCTAGAATAGCTTTCACACTGTATTTGCATCTTTTGAACATTAGAGAAGAAAGTATGCTTGTGTCTCAAACTCCTTATCTCTCATACCAGTTCCATATTAAATCTTTTCTGGGTTCAGATTTTGCTGGTTTTGCTGATTTCTCAATTTTGCCAGTGGTGTGGGATTGCAAAATCTGTCTGGGAATCTCCATCTTTCAGTGTGAGTATTTTAATGTTGTATGATAAAGTCAAAAAATATGTGAATATTAATATTCCATAATCCAGTAGATGTGAAGGTAGGGAAGCACAAGGAGAACCACACCACAAATAGCAACCCTGCTAGTCTGCTGTTCTTAAACGTCTTCTGGTGCCATGGTTGGAGACACAGGGCTGATCTAAATGCATTACTCTGTGTGGGTGATCACTGTAGGTCCCTTCTGACTGAACTATTCTCTTGTATTGGTCTGACCCTGTAGGGCAGCTGTCATCTCATCTGTGGTCACTGATGAGGGAGACAGCAAACTTGGAAAAATACCTGTCTGTGTTGGTGCCAGATACTGTATTTTTGAACACTGGACTTCCAAAATATGCTTGTGTTTTTTAACAGTATTTGAAAATCAGACTTGTGTGTTCATGTGTTTGGTAAATCTTACAGTTCTGACTTCAAATTAATGGCTGTGTGATCTGTATTGTTTTCAGTTTTTAAAAAATATTAAAAAACATTAAAAAATCAGAAGTGGTTTTAAGTGACAGAATTGGTTTTTAGATTATCAAAATTCAAGATTAGTCAACTGGCTTAGGTCTTGAATACTTCTTCACCATTTCTGTGCCTCCACAATAAAGCGCTTGAATTTGGCTGGATGTCTTGGTTGAACATTTTCTCAATTTACACGGAAGTCACATGGCAGCTGGCTTACCCACTTGGGAATCATCAGTTCTCAGTCTTTTTGCTTGTTAGTTTTAGCAAATCAAAATTTTACCACTTTTGCAAAACAGTTTTATGCTGTGCTGCTTCTGTCACAGAGAAAGGAATAATTAAAACAAAGCCTGGAGTCCAGTGTGTGTACAATTTTTGCCTATGTATTCAGACATCTAATGGTGGAATTAGAAAAAATCTGATTACTGCTTCATGAAGAGCAACTTAGCAGGCTGGAGTGAGATATTGTTTGGTCTTTTGTTCTGTTGATTTTTGTAATCCTATATCTCCTTTGTAAGTCACTAGAAGCAGACTAAAATATCATATGCTGAGAATATTTCCTCCTTCCCTTGCCATACTGTCTCTCAGTAAAAAACAGAGGCTAGGGAAAAAGCAAGCAAGCCATTACTTTGCTCATAATACAAGGTTGAACATCACTGTGAAACTCAGTTCCCATCTTTCCTAAATCTGATGTAAGAAAACAAGGATGCTATCTTTTCTCATAGCTGTTGGCTAGGAGAGTTAGGTTATGTGCTAAAATGAGGTAGGAGAAAGGTGAAAAGTTATAAAAATGGATTTAGATCTAAAGGGCATTGAAAATTCACTACTGCAACTTTAGTCATGTTAATAAACAGGGACTTTAAGATTTTTTTCCTTTGGTTCATGTTGCTAAAATGTTTGTGGTTCTGCAAGAGTGTTCCTCAATTTTAACTGTGGAGGTATTTTCATAATGCTGCTAATAATGACATAATTCATAAATGCAGCCAACATAAACTATTTACTGGTGCTGTGTATGGCTGAATTCCTGGCCATCAAGAAGTATTCTGACCAAAATATACAGCTTCAAATTAAGGAGCTTATAAAAGCTTACAGGTTTAAGGTTATTCATACAGCTTTGACTTAGTCTGTATTGTGTAGATACGTAGTAATGTGGCACTTGTTCTGTTTTTCTTTATTGGATCTTTGTTTTGTTTAGTAGCATGGTTTGTGTTCTAAGAATAAACACATAGTACTTGAGACTTATTTCAGAGGTTGCTTGAGGTTCTGATTTGCAAAATCTTCAGAAATTTTGTGCAGTAACTGAAGCCAGTAACATATGTTTTTTTCTGAATACCTAGCATGCTAAAAATGCTAGGCACTCTGAAAAGTCTGTCTTTAAGCCTTGTACATACCGGTATGAGCTGCCACAATGTTGACGTTAGTTTATGTCTCTCATTTCTTAATGTAAAATAAGAATATTAGTCCTACTTCCCTCAATGGATTGCTAGGAAGATAAATTTGTTAATGTTTGTAGAACACTGCTAATTTAAGTTTTAATGTGTAAAGCCTGTGAAGAAATTGGTATTTCTGTGTTAAAAAGAACCAAGACTTTGCTGTAGTGCAGAAATTAGCGAATAGGCAGAGTACAGGCTGAGGCTGCACTGCAGTCCAGAGATAAGGGTTGCAGTTTATGTAAGTTTGTCTTACCTAGTTGAAGCTGATTAGTATAGGAACAGAGGTGGTTGGTGTGTACATAGAAAAGAGGGTTCAGCCCACATTACAAAACCGTGTGCAAGAGTGTGTAGGAATTACTTCTTTGTGTGGTTTCAGCTCTTCCACAATGCAGCTGTGTGTTTATCAGCATGAGATGAACATATTTCAGAGCTAACTCTAGCAATGTGTCTTCACCTTTGGTTCTGCTACAGAATTTCATAAGGCAGGACACCTTATCTGTTTATCAATCTTGCTTTACATCAATTTAGTACAATAAGACTGGACTGTCCTAGGGTAAAATGGTGGGAACTAAAGAACTCTCACCCAAGGAACCAGTGTATGGTTGGATGCGAAACCTACTTAGGGATATTTTCTGGTTTTTGGGTGGCTGAATCTGCAGATTTAATGGCCTGTTAACACAAGGTTTAGGAGCAAACTAGCTTCTAAATAGTTATCAACTTCCCACGGATGCAGTGCCTGAGAACTGGTGTTTTACATGGATTTTTCTGTGCTGTTAGGAGAGTAAACATGAGAAACAAATGTTTCAGGTCACCAGGAGTACAAAAGTGCAGCTGGCAGCTTGTCTGGAGATACTGTTAGCTGTGCTTATTTGGTTAAATATGTAGATTGGTCTTAAGTGTTTGTCTTAGATGCTGTTATGTTTTCTTTCATAATGTACTTTAAGTTAGGGAGGAATGTTTTTGCAGAAATGGAAACTGGAATTCTAAGGCTGAAATCTTTTCCAGTCAGAGTTTGTTGTTCAAAGCAGTGCTCTGAGCCTCCTTTCAGTTTATACTGAAGAGGTTAATGTATGTGATTAATCTTATGATTAGGTAAGTGCAGGGCTTAGACACCAATCTTTGTCTCACCAGAAGTTTTTTCTTTTGATAATTGTCTCATCATTCTTGTTCTCCTTTCAGATGTGGTGAAGAGCCTGTATTTTCCCCTGTCTGGTATACAGTGCCTTAAAAAATGGGGTTTGGAGGTGACCTGAAGTATTCTCATGATGCTTTACTAAAACTGCAAGACTGGGAACTACGACTGCTGGAAACAGTGAAGAAATTTATGGTAATGAGAGTAAAAAGTGATAAAGAATATGCGTCCACTTTACAGAATCTTTGTAACCAAGTAGATAAAGAGAGCGCTTGTCAATTGGATTATATCAGCAATGTGTCCAAGGTAAGTCTGAAGTTTGAATTTGGAATTTCCTTGAGTTTTGGGTTTACTTTTGTTTTTTTGGTTTGAGTTGGATTCCTATCCATTCAGTTTCTTGAGAGTTAATGTTGCCAAAGTATTTAAAATGGATTATTTTAGTTTCTCAGTGAAATATGCAGAAGTTGTGCTTTAGTCTTCCTTTGAAAAAATTAACTGAATGAGAATCAATCCCGATTTTTGAAACTCAGTATTTTACATAAATGGGTTGAGCCTGCTTCTTTGTTTAGTGCTTTGAAAATCAAATATGCTATAGTAAGCTTTTCTTTTAAGATAGGAGCTATTGTTTATGTTATATAGAATTTATGACAGAAATAGAAAAATGCCAGGAAACCAAGTCAAAGCCTAGCATTCCAGCTGTTATTCACACTGCAGCATGTGCTGTAAGAACAAAACATTAATTCAGGATGTTTCTCGTAATTGTGTGTTTATTTTGTATTCTGTTTAAAATAACTGTGTTGACTTTTTAAAAAGGTAAGGCTCTGTTTTCTCCAAATTACTGGTTTTTAGATTTAGAGCAAGTCCAAGTAAATGTAATAATGAAGCAAACTTCCCTTATCACCTGTTCGAAAGTTTTACTCTGGACCTGGATTCTCTGCTGACAAGAGAAGAATATTCTGTTTTGATGGCTTATTCAGTTCTTGGCCCTTGTTCTGTAGCAGTGGTTACACAGTGCATTCAGTCTGGCATGAATCCTCATTTTCTCTCTGCAGGAAAACACCCTTTCTGGGTCAGGTTAAATTTCAGACAAAGCAGTTTTTATGTTGTGGGCTTATGGGATGGCTGCTTGGACAGTGGTTGTGGTGTAGCATTAGGAACAGGACTGCTCCTTGTGCAGCAGGATGGATGTATACAGGGTTAGATTGGCTGTGTGTGACTTGCAGGCTTTGCTGCTATAGCTGGGCTGCTTCAGCACTGTGCAGTGTTTATATATAACACGTTCTGTTGTTGCTTCCCTCCCTCACAATAATTCTAGCCTTGCAAATTGAAATACTGCCTTTTTTTTTTTTTTCATTTTTTCATTTTTTTTTTTTCATTTCATTTTTTTCATTTTCAGAGTATTTAGCGTTACAAGGTTTAAACAACCATTCACCTTCACATAGGTATCGCAGTCCAGGACAGTTCATGTTAATAACACGAGCACTTCTTGTGGGCAGATAAATTGAACAAATCTGGAGATCTGACTTAAGCCATGTTCTTCTTGGCGTGAAGAGAGGTGTGCATGTCACATTTTGAAATCTTGTTTTGAACAGAGGCACTCAAGTTGTCCTTCGGCGTCATTTTCATTCCCTTCTCTTAAGGAGGTGTAATTTTTCACTAAGTTGCATCTCTGATTTCTACATTTCCTCTGTTTTCTATGTTTTAACAGCAAAAATAGTCATATGGACTGGCAGGTTTTTTATATGGGCTTGCCTTATAATTTCACTGACACCTTGGATTTTGTATGTGTAGTGACACGTTATGTTACTGGTTTTGACAGTTAAAAAACCTGAATTATTGGTTATTTACTAATCTCATTCTAATTTATTTTAATGTTTTGTGATACTTTTTTCTCTCTTCCTGACATTTTACAGAACCAAAGAATGATGCAAATATTATGGAAAATGAGTCTAGTTTCTTACATCTTCTAATATCTAAAATACCTGTTTTTGTTATTGTGGTATTATTTGGCATTTTGTGGCATTAAAACCCAATAGCAAGGTGTTTAATTTTTAATGGGTTTTGTTTGGTTGATTTTGTTGTTGTGGTTGTTTGTTTTGGTTTAATATGATCTCTAAGTGTGCAGTAAGAGTGAGCACTTAGAGAGAAATGGTGTTTGGGAAAATCTGTCTTCTTTTTTTTTTCATGTGGAGACAACAAACTTACTGGAAGGCATGGTAGCAGCAACTGGTAATGCTAGAAACGAGGTGTTTTTAAGAGCTTCCAGACTGCTCTTTTGTGTGTGTATATGTCTGAAAAATAGTGTTAAAACAAACAATAATGTATTTTATTGCATTTGTTGGACTGTGGTCATTTTTTTGCGGAAGGATATGCTTTACCTTTTCCGCTGTTCCCACCCAGCTTTTTTATCTCATATAAGTCTCTGTTATTGAAGCATTTTCACTTCATCTTCTCCTAATTTAAAATAATAAAATATAATAATACAAAGCACAGAAATCCTGCTTTACTGCTATTTACTGCTATTTCCCTATGGAAACATTGCTTTTCCCTTTTCCTGATGGAAAGAGTGATGTGAAGAACAGGGAAATATGCAATTTTTTTTTTTTAATAGAAAGGAAAGTAATTGCTATGTTTCTGGCTTATTTAAGCTCATTTGGTGACTTGTAAACTAAGCATTTTTGGAATACCTGTACTGTTGAAAAATGTTTTTGGTGTGATTTTTCAGGATTCAAACACTAGTTGTTTCATCAGTAATAAATCAGCCTTATGGAAAATAGATGATTCTGACTACATTTTCACCTCTGAGAGCACTTTTCTAAACTCCTCTGTAACCACAAAGACCTGCTCTTCTCACACAAGTGTTCAGTGCTGTCTTATCCTATGCAGCTTTGCAGTATGGCTTCTGAAATGGTCTTCAGCCACAGCAGGAAAGCTTTAGGCCTTGACATTTTATAACATGACACTTTAAGCAGTCCAGATATCTCTGTGCCAATCTGTGCCAATATTTACAAGCTGGAAGAAATATTAAAGAAAGTTCAGTATATAGGGGAGTCAATTGTCTTTTGTTTTGCTCTCTATAATCGAGTTTCTGTTGCAACATTGTCATGTAGAGATGGAAACATTAGGTATATATGTTTGTGTACGCTATATAAAGAAACCTAAAAGCTAAGAAACAAATTATTTTCTGAAGTTTTTATCTCTGATTAATTTCTGTTTTAGTAAGAGCCACAATAAGTGCCAATAGAACTCATATGCTAGCTGCCTTCAAAACCTTGCAATTCTGTGGCATGTAGCCACACTAACGTCTTAGCTATATCACAGCAGTCATTGTCAGGGAATTATCTTTAAGGAATCCAATGTGTGACAGCAGTCTTGAGGATGACCAAGGTTTTATTTGAACCGAAGTTTAATTTCACTTTTGTGTCTCTGATATCTGTAGATGTATATCCGTATTCAAAGCCGAACACAGCACATTAAGCTCTCCTGAAAACTGACAGAATGTCCAAGGAAGCTATTAAAGCAAGGGTACAGAAGGATGCTGGGTTCCAGTGACAGATTGGTGTTGTGTCTGTGCTTTGGTACTGGTGGCCTGACTGATGCTGCTGTGTGAGGCAGCTGATGTAATGGTGTCCTCTTAAACCACGACCCCTCAGGTACATATTGCTGTCAGGTATTCAGACAAAGGTGGAAGTCAGCTTAGGCAGAGCAACTGTGGGGCGAAACTGGAGGACAAAGGATGTAGGAACATAGTTCTCAGGGTGTTGGGAATATATCTAAAAAAAAAGGCTGCAGTGCTTTCTTTGGTATACTGAAATACTAGGACAGTGCTGAAGGGTGAATATTTAATATTGTATTTTTGTCTCTGGTGCTTTTTTATGATTTTATGAGTGAGATGGAGGCATGATTTTGCTGTTGCAGGAGGATCTCAAATGCATTTGGGTGAGCTTAGAATTAGTTATTTTACTGAATTTTTTTAAACAATGATGCATCTTTTCCCACAGCTCTTATTAATTGTTTGGTTATTATTGAGCTGAAATAAATAAGTGCTTTTCTGTTCTTTTTTATAGTCTTGGTTGCTCGTAGTACAGCAAACAGAACAGCTGAGCAAAATAATGAAGACACATGCAGAGGATCTTAATTCTGGGCCCTTGCATAGGCTTACAATGATGATCAAAGATAAGCAGCAAGTTAAGAAGAGTTTTGTAGGTGTTCATCAACAAATTGAAGCGGAGATGTACAAGGTATTTTATTCATCTGTGCTTGATAAATTGATTATAATTCTCTATGTTTAAAAATACTAAATTAAGAGTGGCTTTTTTTGGGTTTTGTTCATGCTGTGGTAAAAGCGTAGTGGGTGGTGTGTTGAATGCTTAGTTTAAATTTTAATAATTTTCTACACAGATTTTCTTTCCTGCTAGCTGATAAGGCAAAGATGGAAAAGTTTCTTCCATATGAATTTCCGTGGACAGATTGAACTGGAAATGTTGTTCTAGTAGAGGATAATGAATTGTGTGACACTTCTGTATTCCATCTCTTTTCCTGTTCTAATTCCACTCTAGACATTCATGGGACCAGGGCACTGTAAACTGTTCTTAATGAGTGCTCTTGGCAGTCCAGACTCTTTTGGGAGGGGACAGAGTTCTAGTCCCTATTCTAAAATATAAAGCAGGTGTAAACCGAAACCGAACATTGAGACTGCAGGTGAAACTCTTCGGGGTGTTTTCCATGACATATCTGATATCCTGCTTGTGTTCAAAGTGCTGTATCTTGTCAGTAAAGCTGACAGAAATCACCCTTTCAGATGCTCTGGGGGAAATTTAGCTACAGGTGTCAAAAATCAGAGCAATAGTCTGAAAGGTCTACTGAGAGGAGGAGAAGTGCTGTTTCTTCTTTCTTCCAGCAGAGAATTGGGGATATGAAGTAATGTAATTAAAATGTAACATCTGAGTAGAGCAGTAACACTGTCACGAATTGATGAGTAAAAGATTCTTGGGCCGGTTCTGAGAAGAACTTGGAGCTATTCTGTATTTAAACTAAGACTATTTTAAGTTAAACACATTGGCTCTAATAAGATTGCTTCCATAATATGCTGGAATCTTGACATCTTCCTCAAGGAGGGACTATGGGGATGTCTTTTTTGATTCATGGTCAGTTGACTGTCATTATTTGATAAAACTTCAAGTAAAATAATCACTTGCTGCTACATATGAATTGGTGCACCTCAAAAAAGTCAGAATGGAAGAAGAGGAAAAACTGGTAGCATGTGTTAAAAATAATAGAAGAATTGCAGAAAGAGAAAAAGATAAGAAAGAGAGGCTGAATGGAGTAAGACTGCTGTAAACTCAGGTATACTTTGAAAAGAGACTATGCAATGTTTTGTTTTCTGTTAATAGGCCAAACTCTAATAGAACATCTAATAAAAATGTCTTTTAAAATAAGATTTTTCCAAAAAAACATAATGCCTACTGAGCACTTGCCGAATGATTATTACAAACCATATTAACTTTATTTTATTATGGGCTGCATAGCCATAAAAGTATTTTGTATCCTGCTGATTAAGCTTGCATTGTTGATTGGTTAGAGGTTTTTTGGGGTTGTTTGCCTTTTTTCCCCTTCCTGCATTTGCAAAGAGGTATTTGAATATGGTTCTCCTATAGTTAGCTGACATTGTTCAAGGTTTTGTGTACCTGTAGCACTTTAAGAATGATTCCCTGAAATTCAAAAGACTTGTTGTGTTCTGTGGTATTATTTCTGATTTTGTTATGCACAGAGGTAAGATGCCAATTATATCTCAGGACAGTATGCAAAGTTCGTGAACGTCAGTGTCTGTGCAGCTCCTATTTTAGTATAAGATGGCATAAAGATGTGTTTAGATGAAATGCATGTATGTCATTCTTCCTTATTCTAGACACCTCTACAATGAGGAATCTTATGGAGAGGATTCTAAAGAACAGTAAATAACATGGCTTTTGCACAAATGTAATGGATTTGTATCTTGTAGATTTATTCCAGTTTCCATTAAGATGTTGAATCATTTTCTTTCTTCATGAAATTTGAGGGGAAAAAATAGAGTACTGTTATAATTAGGTGGGTAAGATCTTTTGCAATAAAAATGGAGTTTAAAGTAATCCTTGACCATCTTAATTCCTTCAGCATTCTTTGGGAACAGACATGCTCTTGGTGTTGGTTTTATCTGTTGGAAAAACACAATCTAAGAATCATAATGTAGGTACTATAAAGGTTTCCTGATGCTAGTGCCCTGTTTTATTTTTCAGTTTTCTGTAAGAGAAGCTGTTCTTATTATTTAGGTCTTAATTCACTACTTCTTAATTGCATCTTTTTCTCCATTTGTGATGATGTCTTTAAATACAAATTGTTACGAAGTTGTTTCTCCTATATTGCCTCTATTGGTGTATAATAACAGCAGATGTGTATAATTTACAGAGTTTAGAAATATGAGATGAGTATATGTGATTTATGTGGAGACAAGGTTCTGCCTTCAAATTAAATATGGCACAGTTGGCCCAAAAATAGAAGCTTTAGGCAGCATTTTGCTGGAGTTTTAGGGAATTTAATTAAGTTTTCAGATGTTGGTGAAAGTAGTGTTATCTGGGCCTTGCCTCCTGAAAAAAACGGAAAATTGTGAACTTCAGCCTTCTTCCTGCCAGCTGCAAGAGGAACAATTTTTCAGTAGAATGAACTTCTTTTTCTGCACATTCACTGAGAGGAGCATTTCCATTAAAAGTATTTAATTTCTCTTCCATGATTTTCCAATTGAACTCTGTTATTCTGTTGGATTTTTTTTTTTGTGTGTTGTTTTTTTTTTTTTTTTTTTTTTTTTTTTTTTTTTTTTTTTTTTTTTTTTTTTTTTTTTTTTTTTTTTTTTTTTTTGTTTTTTTTTTTTGTTTTTTGTTGGAATTTTTTGGTTTTCTTACAGTATATGGTAGGTTTTTTTGGTATTGTGATGGCTGGTTTGTTACTGCATTTTGTGTGCAAGTTCATGATTTGAGATTATTTCTGAACAGTGCACTAGTTTTGGCATACACTGAATGAATGCTGGGGATAGAAGAGAAAACTTTATTTTAACTTTGTGACCAAAAATGTTATGTTCAGTGCTCAGGTACATGGTAGAGGTTTCTTATTTGGTGGTTGCTTCTGTAGTTGGGTTTTTGTTTGGGTTTTTTGGTTATTGGTTTGGTTTTCCTTTTTAAGGGTTTAAGTTTTACCATTGATAGATTATTTCATGGCAAGTTGCTGTTCCTTAGTAATTTTTATGAAATGCAATATCTAAAAAATTTGCTTGTTTTTAGGTGCAAAAGAAACTCTTTCCTGTGCATAGGAGATTTTAAGCCAGTATGATTTGTTAAGCATATTTTAAGCATATATTAAGCATGCCTTGTAATTGGAATGGAATATTATTGATGATTAGCTGGATTTTCCAAATACATTTTTAATTACATTTATGTGAATGGGTGTCTTAGGCTCCTTACTTAATTCCGTGCATTTATTGATTTTGATTTCTCACCATGTAATTTGCACCATGTAATTTGCACCATCCTATTAAGATTTTCTCAAGCCAGTGGAAAGGGTAGCGTCCTTATTTTCAATAATAAATTCTGTTAATTCTGTTTTACTAATGCTGTGGTTTTTAATGTGTTGAGAATAAGTCTTTTTAATACTTTTTATATTTCTCTTTTCTTAAAGGTCACAAAGACAGAACTAGAGAAACTTAAATCTAGCTACAGGCAACTAATAAAAGAAGTAAATTCTGCCAAAGAAAAGTATAAAGAAGCTGTGGCTAAAGGTATGATTGACTTCATTTTGCATGTTTATTAGTGCCTTTTTCAAACCTGCTCAAACTCTTACAATGAAACAAGGTAATTATTTTTTTATTTTGAGCTGCTTGGTTGCAATATAAAAAACTAACTTCTTGTTTTAAGTAGCCAGGCTGATTGTCATAATGTATACTTGGTATAACCTCTTAAAAATTCATAAAATATAAATGGTGATTCTTTTGAGTTTTTGTATTATTCCTTCACTTTTTGAAATCTAAAATTGCTCAGATGGACTCTGGTCTCACCTGCGTTGTAGCTGCATCCTACTTGCCTGTGAATTATTATTGTTGCTACAGTGGCATCAGCATCAGATTACACATCAAACCTTTGTCAACCTCATCTAAAAGGGGAAAATTTGCACACTGAGATTTTTTTTTAGGGAGTGATGTGTTCAATCTGCATGGATTTTTATTACTTTTGAATTGTGCTTGAATGATGAGATAAAAGAGAGCCTTTGTTCTATTATGTATTGAAATATCATGCTAATAATTGTTCTTATGTGTCCTTCTTAGATTTTCTTTTCTTCTTTAGTGAAAATTGAGTGGCCGTATGTATTGAATGGCAGTACATAAGTGTAATTCCAAGATACATCTTTAAGGTTTTGTATGAGAGTCTAAATGACAGTTAATGTTCTTGATTCTGTTGTAGTATAATTATAGTAGCTCTCAGGAGACATTGAGATTGTGAGGAGAGATTGTTTCTTTGCAAATTTGTCTCAAATTTGGACAAAACAGCAGGGGATAAAACGTTATGCTTAGCACTGTTGAGCTTTTACTGTTCTTTTTCTTTTACTGAAGTTCATAAACACTTAAAATAAAAATGTATACTTTGATGTTAATTTAATTCAGTTCCATGTTTTCTGTATGTAACTTAATTTGATTACTTGGTTTATTCTCAAGTAACTACTTAACATTGGAATATGTAGTATGTATCATGGAAAATATAATAGGATGGTTGGATCTTAGTATGTTATTTTTAGCCTGTTTTGTCCTCTCTTCCTGTTACTAATCTGGTCATTCTCTATTCCTGAAGCACCAAACTTTCCCATTGGAATAAAGGAATGTTTTGTCTGTCAGCAGCTGTGATGCTTTGATGTGGTTTTCATTAACTGAATTAATCTTTCTTCAGATAGACAGCACACATAAATTGTTTTAAGACACTTATCTCCTGTGGTTTTCATTAACCTTCTCTTTCAGGCTTTTATATAATGTTTGTTGTATTATAATTCATACTTAATTTCATTTCTACTAGAATCTTGCTTTGATAAACAGATGCCCATAAAAATGTTTTTCTCCCAAAAGTTGCAGATTTGTTTCTCTCCTGCTGCATCCCACACCCTGTTCCTGTTTACAAATACTTGTGCATTTGATGAACTACTACGGTTGTTTAACAGCTGCAGGTTGAGTCACTTGAATTTTTCTAAGTCTTGGTATTTCTGAGCTTTTAAGTTGTCAAACTGGTTTGCTGGTGAAGTGAAAAGTTAGGGAAGTCTTAAAATTACAATGCTTCTTTATTCCAGGGTATTCTTTATTCAGTAAGCTTAGCTTATTCAGATTATGTGCTATTAAGATATATTACTTTTGTTAACGTACAAACTGTTTCAGTTTTTCAGGATTTCAAGAATTATTGAAAACAAAAGAAGAAACAATGCTTACCAGAACAGTGGGAGGGCATAACCAACTATTGAAAATAAGCTGAAAACCATTTTGTTAAACAAAAAAATGAAAATCTTTTGACACCCGCTCTTGCAAGTAATGTGCTAAAACAGCCCATCCAGGTTCATTTATGTAAAATGTTGTTTCAAACAGAGCCTGTTCCTCTGTAAGGGCTGTACAAGTCTGTAAGACAGTGACTGGCTTTGCCTCTCTGGAGCCAAAGGGGAAAACTGTCTTTTAGGACATACAATTTTAGCTTTACCCTGGGGGTTGCATGTAATGTCTTGCAGCACCTGTATGAGCTGGTCCCTAGGAAAAGAATGAAAATCACACAAAGTAGTCTGACAAATGTCTCTGTTTTACAAGAGTAGTGATTTTGAAATGTAGTAACTTTTTCTGCTTTGTTTTAGAATAGCAAAGCCGCTTTCTGGTGAGAGAGTAGGTTTATTAGAGCTACTAGTGAAAGAGGTACAATTGGTTCTTCAGCTTGTGAAGACAATTGCTTCCCAGTTTTCTGTTTGAGTTATTAAAAGTGATACTAAGCTCTGGACTAAACACACATGGTAGAGGATGTTAACTGATAAGGGTGAAGGCTAGCAAAGTTTGTACAGTGAAAAGTGATTTTATGATTTTCTGGAATCAGGAAGTAGTCTCAGGTAAACTTAAATTTCTGTGTGTGCTACTTTGCACCAGTGAAGTAGTCACTTTGATTCAATGACACCCTAACAGAGTTACAGGTGTTTTCATTTTTTGGTGAAAACACTAGGAGGGCTATTGGAAAGATTAGCAAGTGTTAAGGACTGAATAATGATACTGGTTAGTTACAGGTTTTGTTAGTGTTTGAACAATGTGTAAAGCATGTGGTGGGAATTTTTTGTTAGTTTTTTAGTGGGGAAAAGGGAACTGGTTTCTGAAAGAATATAGGAGCTTCATTATGGAAGACTTTGTGCTGTCCAGATTTGGAAGAAGGTGAAAGTGTCTGAGATTGTGTCCCAGAAGCTGTTCTGTGGAACCCTCTGCTAGCAATGCTTCTTCTTGTGCATCAAGGGAAGCAATGGGACAGTTGTGTTGCAGGAGGAGAGCCACTGAGACTTGGCTGCCACTTCCACCTTGGGCTGGGTTGCACTGCCTTGTTATGGCCACCAGTGTGTCTGCCTGATGGCTCAGTCAGAAATGACTGATTTATTTTGTTTGTTCTAGCCCTTACCCCAGTAAGTCATGCATAGCTGCTCCTTTCTGGACCAGTGGTTACCATAGGAATCACAAATGCAGTCTGGTTGGTTTTTCTTGCACATGGACGCTCCAGGGGTCAGGCAGTCTGGTTGATGTTAGTCATTTGCATGATAATTTTCTGTCCTTTTCTCCCCAGACATTCATTCTTGTGTTTTTTAATGTATGGTAAGAGATAACAGGGAGAGAGATGATGAAGGCAGCAAGCTGAACTAGTCCAGTGCCTCTTTAATGAGGCATGCTTCAGTTTTTGGGACTCTATGGACAGATTGGATGCAATAGTCTCTTCTGGATTAGAAAGTTTTGTTTATAAAAACTCCACAAGGTATGTGTAGTGGGAATGCAGAGCATGTTCCTTTGCAGAACTGGGGCATTGGAGTCATAGGGCATGCAGGAGTCTTTGGAACAAAATATAAGACAAAAGCTTTTTATATTATTTCTCTGTAATGAAATGGACAGCCCTGTGAATGTGTTAGTATCTCTATGTGTGATACTAACAAAAAACAGTGTAAACATCTTCCAACAGCAGTCCAAAGTAACAGTGTCAGAGTGTATATGAGTCTTAAGTTTACAGGGCTGTGCTAATCAGTGATGCTGAGTAATAAGGTGATTAGAATGTGGCATGTTGATGTTGCTGCTGTAGAAAAACACATCAAGCCAAAATTTGTGCCAGATGGAAAAACCATGGTTTCGCTAAAGAAGTCACAAATCTTCTGAAATAATTTAATGAATAATGTGTTAAGAATACAAAATGAAGACTGTAGGACAACTGTAAGTATCAAGTGTGATATTTCATTACATTTTAAATCTCATTTGGTTGGACCAGTAACTGCTTCCACTTAAGTTTGGTGTTTGCACAATTATTTTTGTTTCTGTAGGATTGTGCATCTCTAAGTATAGTTCAGTGTGTCTGGGGGGGTTTCAAATATTTTCATCCTTGAACCTTTTGATTAAGCATTACTTACTGCTATATAAATAAGGAAATAATGATAACATTAAACAATCATTTATTCAGTCCATTACACGTTTTAAAAAAAGTTGAAATGCATCAATAAAGTTTAGCATCTATTTTGGTAGCTAATTTTGGTGTTATGTGTTGAAGTGTGAAAGGATTGCTCATATATCAGTAAATATTGCAAGTTGGAGCAGAGCCAGCTTTGGGAGGTTCATACTGAGTTTTAATACAACAGACTCTTTAGAAAAAATTACAGTTTTTTGTGTAAATACATTAATTACAGGTGTTTATTGTAGTCTTATTCCTGGTTCTTTACTGGTTGAATGTAAAAAATATTTTGCAGTGCTCTTATGTGACACAGTGGATCTGAAATAAATAGTAAAGGAAAAATACATGGATTCTAAGTATTTAATGTCATAATTTCATTTTATGCTGCTACAGCAGCATAAAGAATATTTCACCAGATTTCTCTAGGCTTGTGTTCCCTGACACCATTGTGATTTAGAGGAGCTTAGAAATACTAAATGTACACCTACCACATCATACCACATTGCTTCTGTTGTAAGAATGTTTTCCCTGCAACTCAGGTGATTTAATACTTCAGAATTGATGTGACTTCTATGGTACATACTGAAGTTTCACAGCAGCATAAACTCACATCTGTGATAAATAAGGGAGCTGTTAAAAAAGCTTTCATTAAATCAAATTATTGTCCTTCTATTCTTTGTAATAGTCAAGTGGTCAGAAAATACTTACTAGGTGGATGGTGCATTCATTCTGAGATGCCTTTAAAATTGTTATTATACAGTTACATTTCCTGGAGTTGTTGCTGCAATGAGGGAAACTCCTAGTAAGATTTTTTTAAGCTTAGTTTTGACTGAGGCTCTCATATTGCTAAGACAAAACAAGTAACACTGGCTGAACTGGTCTGTCTTACTCAGAGAGGCCAGCAGCCTGCATAGATTTAAAATTAGTGTTCCACTGCAAGTATTTCAACACATACATACTACCAGTGCTTTTGTTTGGAAGGGGTAGGGTTGTTTCTTCTGTGTAAAATAAAGCTTCTAGAGCAGGAAACCCCAGGGAGTGCAAAGAGATTGTGGTGACTTCTTAGGGAGTGTGAGACAAGCTTGCACATACTATTTCCTCTTAACACAGGCATGCAGCCCCAGGATGTGCTGTCCTTGCAGACCAGCAGGCACAGGACAGAGAATTGGCTAGAGGTGCTTAATAGCTCACCCTGACAATATCTGACAGCAGTTGAAAAGCTAGAACATTCTTTTTACTGTTTTTATGCTATGTTACTTAAAATTAGGCTGATAGCTTTGGTGAACTAATTCTTAACTCAGAAGTTTATGTGGTATTCTGTAAATATGAACTCTTTAAATATACACAAATAGTGTTGGGGTTTTTTTTTCCCCATTAGAAAATTATTTATTATTTTCAATCATTATTTTGTTAAGTAATAATTGGGAGAAACCTATTCTCTTCTCAGAAACTGGTTGAGTGGAGAAAGGAGTAAGTGATTTTACTTGTTGAAGAAACACATTAATATGACAATCTTGCAAGACATAAAAGGGAAAGGACCTTTGAGATTGAAGGTAAAGATCCTATCTTGTTTCTGTCTGTCTTTGTGATTTTGGTCTATTAACACCTGTGTTAATTGAGACCACTGTGTCTGCATCTCTTGGTTTGCAGAGTGATAATAAGGCTGCTCAATAAACTTCTGAGCATGTTTCCAGAGACAGAACTAACAGTCAAAGCTGTCCTAGTTTAATGGCAGCAGTTTGCATAAAAATTGCTTTGTAGATAGGAATATTTAAAAGTTTAAATTGGGAGTGGAGTGGCTGGAGAGCACCTGGGGTGCTGGTGAATGGCAGGCTCCACATCTGTCAGCAGAATGACAGGTGTCATCTGGGGTGCATCAAATACAGCACAACCAGAGAGTCAACACAGGGGATTGTCTTCTGTATTTAGTGTTGGTGAGGCCTCACCTGGAGCCCTGAGAGCAGTTCTGGGCCTCACACTTTAGGACGGATGTGAAGGCACTGGGATGCACCCAGAGGAGGGTGGTGGAACTGGTGGAAGGGCTGGAAAGGCTGTCCAGTGAGGGGCAGCTGGGAGGTCTGGGTTTGTCCATTTTGGAGAAAAGGAGGCTGAGGGATGACCTCACTGCTCTCTGCAGCTTCCTGGGGAGGGGAAGTGGAGAGGGAGGTGCTGATCTCTTCTCCCTGGGATCCAGTGACAGGATACATGGGAAGGGCTCACAGCCATGCCAGGGGATGTTAAGACTTGACATTAGGAAATACTTGCTCATTGAGAGAGTGTTTGAACATTGGAACAGGCTTCCCAGAGAGGTGGATGATGCCCCAAGGCTGTCATTGTTTAGCAGACATTTGGACAATGCCCTCCAAAACATGCTTTAGTTTTTTGCTAGCCCTGAATTGATTAGGCAGTTTAACATCATGATTCTTGTACATCCCTTCCAACTGGAATATCCTAGCCTAGCCTTAGGGAGTGAAGCCATGCTCAGTATGGGAGTCCAAATGATTCAAAAGTCATGTCACTGGTGGGTTGTTTTGGATCAGTAAGAACTGTTGTATGAAGAGGTAATTTTCATAATCACCTATGGTATTTAGATGTTTCTAGCTTTATAGTATGAAATACGGAATTTAAGGAGATAATTTGGGTCAGGAAGGACCTGAAATCAGTTAAGTGGGTAATATAGGAGTAATCAGTTACAGAGCAAGTTCTACAACCTGTGTCTTTCCTATTGCACCATGAAAATCTAGGAAGTTGAACAAACTATGAGGAAATAGGACTGGCGAAGTTAGAAGGTTGCCTCCAAAAGCAGGGTGCAATGATTTTTTTCTCAAGAACTAACTGTAAATTGTGTACTGTACAGTATTGGGAATCAATTAGCATAAATATACATGGTTACATTGGTTTGATGTATAAAAGTAGTCTTTTTTTTCTCCCCATCATATCTAGGCTTTTTAATTACTTACTGTAATTTAAGTGCTTAGTCCATACTAAAATTCAATTGAGATCAAGACCATGTCTCACTAGTATTTGTTCCAGTTTCAGTCTGTGGAGCAGCTGAGTCAAGTTTTATGATTCTAATGTAAAAATACCTTATTGTATTAAAAATATATATATTTCTAGAAAAAGAGCTATTTGAAAGCCATGGCCATCTCATTCATGAGTGTAAAGAATGTGTGTTCACATTCTTTACAGTGTGTTCACTGCCATAGTGTAAGCAAATGACGTAATGGAGTGTTCTTTTCCAGGCACAATTAAATAATGCTCTGTGAAAAGGTGTATCTCCAAAGTTGAAATAAATAAGGAAGTGACTGTATTGGAGTTTTGATATTGATAAAATCACTTTGCTGTAAAGACAGCAAAATACTCAGAAATTATCTATGTTGTTGAAAATGCTGAAAAAAATGTGTAGATGGAAAGAAATGCAGTTCTGGAAAATTATTGAAAAACTGCAGTCATAAACAATGGGAAATGCATTGTAGATCACTATATGCATTGACAGCTTTATAGTTTAATGCCGATGTTTACAAAAATAAAAGTTTCTAAATCAAACTTAAGAAGAAAAGTTTTTTCTGTCTTAAAAATTATTACATGCTCAAGATTTCCATTCATCTGGGGGAGAATTCCCATTATTCAGGGGAGAATTGTTACTTCCTTAAAAAAAAAATACAAAATAAAAATAGCAAAAGCTCTGATTCTTCCCTCTTTTTCCGTTTAAAAATTTTTCTGAAATCAAATACTGTGATACTTAGTGAGATTTTAATCCAGAAAATTGCAGCAACTCTGGAGCCAAGCTGCTTAGTGTTCTGTGGGACCTCACCTGTTCCCTCCTCAATCCTAACCCACAAGGTCACTCCTCTGTCACTCCTCGTACATCCTGAGGCAGTGCTCTATGGACTCCAGCTGCTCTCTCATGTAAAGGGCAACTCTCTCCTTGACTTCCTGGATTGCTTTTCCCCAGGAGTCTGAACTCTTCATTGCATAGCTCCAGTCCTGCCTCTGTGATCCTGACAACATCCTGGCCCTACAGCTGCACACAGACACCCAACTCACTGCATTTATCACCCGCACTGCATGCAGGTAGACACAGGCATATCGTCCCAGCATGTCGAGGTCCTGGAAAGGATTTGTGGGACTTCTCACATTGGTGCTTTGCAAGAACCTTCTTGCCCATCTGCACCTCCTGTTTTGTTTTCTTTGTGATTGATCTCTTCCCATCTTACCATGCCCTTTCCTTAGCAGTCTCCTTCCTCAGGACTGTGGGTCACCCTGTCCGTCCTGTGTAGTTCCTAGTTTAAAGCCCTCCTAAGGAGGTCAGTAATCTTACTGACAAAAATACTTTTATCTTGCTTAGGAAGGGGCTTCCTGTCTTTCAAGCAGATGGTGGTCTGCAAAAAGGGTCCCATGGTTGTAGAATCCAGACCTGTGTGGCTGACACTGGTTCTGCAGCTACTTACCAGCCTGTATTGTCAGTACTCTCCTTGCACCCTTTCCCTTCACTGGCAGGATTAAAGAGGACACAGCCTGGTCCCTTGTGCTTTTCATGTCTGCCCCTAGAGCTCTGTAGTCACTTCTGGTACTGTCCAAGGTTTCCCTTGGCAGTGTCATTGCTGCTCTCATTTCTTACTACATTGCCTCTGCTGCTCTTCCCTGTACTTACCTATACCCAGAAATTTGGATGGATTTGCTTTTTTTAGTCCCTGTACTACAAGAGACTGTTATGTTCCTGGCATATGTGTTAGTCCTCAGTTTCTGTGGATTGTTAGCTACAGTTTTATTTATGTATAAAGACTTTCTTCCTTCTTGTTATTCGTGTATATACTCACCTTGTCCTTCTGTTTTTAATTTTGTTTGCCTGTTTCTACAGTTTTAGCATATTTAAGGTTTCTCACTGTGTTTCTGTTGGAGGAATGTAACCATATATTGTGACATCACATGTGTCATTGGCTCCTTTTAAAAATAAATTGTCAAAAACTAGCCTTGTGTAATGTTGTGTCATTGGTGTATCTACATGGGATGGCATTCATTGTGTGCTGAAGCCAAAGGTCACGTTTCAATACCAGGAGCTATAAATCTAGAAATTTAATTTGTCTGTTGTGAGCTAAGCCTTTATAATGATCTCTGTTGTGTCTTTTATGAATATTCTGTCATCACCACTTTGGAATGGCTGAAGGTCTGGCTGGAAGGAGTTGGAAAAGCTGGGAAAGAGGGGAAGAACCTAAGCCCACTGGCATAATTATTTCTTTTAAAGCCAAAATATGTGTGAAAACTTCCTCTATCTGCAGTGTTTATTTCCTTAAGGTCAGCTTCCCTGAGGCATTTGCACTGTACATTGAAGATGAAGTGAACATTATGAGCTGAAGTTTTTCTCAGTTTATTGTCCCATCCAGTATTTTTTCTCCTATTCTAGGTGATTATTAGGCCACAAGAATCTAATAATTATGATTGCAAGAACTTTGTATTAGCAAATCTGCCTTTTAATTGAAAATAGACCAAAACATTCTTTTCCTAGATGGCTGTGTTGTACTGTAGGCAGTAAAATCTTAAATGAGTTTCTATTAGAAATTGAAACATTAGACTCCAGAATGAGTGAAAAAGAATGCCAGCCTTTTCTTTGTAAATATAAAACTTTCATAATTGAATTTTGCAAGCTTCACAGTACAGTTTATGGTGCGACATATTGTATACCCATCAGTTTCTATTAACATTAAACAGTTTTGTCAACAGCTGATGGCAGTAGAATTATAATTATATTTATTTATGAAATTCATTGTAGAGATAAAGAAAATTGGATGTTTTCCTCTGTGCTAATTGACATGTAGAACAACTGTGTATGCTGCTTCACTGCATTTTGCTACTATAAAAAATAAATTACAATATGAAAATAATACTGTAACTTTGTTCCCTGAATTAAATATAGATCCAAGGCTCTATTTTAAAGTTGAGTGAATATGATAATTTGATTTATGTCACAATTAGTTGAGGTGTTCAGCTGAGGAATAATGTGTAGTCCTTAAAACAGATGGGAAAATCAGTTAGTTTAGATGCTAATGAGGTTTCTGAAAGAGATACAGTATTACTAAATTGCGAGTTATGGGGATTTGATAATTTTAGTGTAAATTTTCAGTTTAGTTTAGCTGTTGAAGGTGGTTTGTTGCAGTTCACAGGTCACAAGCCCGTACTGATGGTACATGGTATGACTTCAGATGTGCTAATATTTCATAAGCTGAAAACTGATAAGGATTGTATTTTAAACACATGTGTAGACAACTTGTAGCTCTTAAACTATATGACATATGGAGATAATTTTAGATTATT